CCCTCGCCCACTTTTTCGCGCGCGATCGCGCGATTCAGGGAGCGACTCTCGAAGGGGATCTCCTCTCTCACCTCTCGTCTCCTCTCCTCTCCTCTCCTCACCGCTCCTCGCTGCTCCGTCGTTTCGCGCGCGAGGGAAACTTTTACGTGCTGCTCGTCACGATGTCGCAGGACAAATCGAATCGTCGCGACGGAAAACTCGGCGAAACTCAATTTCCATCGTGTGCTCCGTCGTCGGAAACGTTCGACGCATGCGATCCTCCTGGCGACGGACGGGCGGATTCCCCCCTTCGATCACCGCGAATTAAATTAATTCCCACTGAACTTCGCGTGTCCACCGCAACCCTCCCCCGTGTATATCTGTATATACGCGGCGCCACGGAAAACTTCCGTGATTTCTTAGCGTCGCCAGACTTTGAGGAGGTATCCCACATTGAGTCTTCTCGAAATGAGCCGATTGCGAATCGCGAGCCGAATACGCGAAAGTTGGTAATCGAATTACCAATCGAGGCGAGATACCCTCTTGGAATTGAAAGTAAGGACAAATTCTATCTCTCTCTCTCTCTCTCTCTCTCTGTCCATTCTCACGTTGAGAATTTTTAATTCTCTCAAGGTTGATCTTTCAGCTTCAATAAAGGATGCTCGCTCTCTGCGGAGAAAGCGGGATTCGTTTTCATCGCGAAGCGATCGGCGAAGAGCGGCTTCTTGCAAAGCCAGCTGATGCCTAATTATATTCGAGTGTGGCTCGTCTGGTGTCTTAATTATCGCGCGCTTCCGTCCCATTCTCGTGGGACACCCTCGACGGCACGAGTGGTGTCCGCGGCTAATTGCATTGCCGGGACGCATCACCGGAAGGCTTCGGCATCGCGCCCTTAATTGAACCCGGGACCATGAATTTCGGATTTCTCCGTACGCCAAAGAGCTTCGCGCGAGCTTGTTCCGAAGAACGCAGGAATAAGCTGAGACAAAGGGATGCTGCGATGAGAAATAAAAAAAAGGATAAAGAGGAGAAAATGCAGGGGAGACCCCGCGCGATCGCGAAATAGGAATCCGATCGCGCCAATCTGTCTTCGTTTCCGCGACGGAGAAAGAAATTAAGGGAGAAAGGACGACCTATCGGGACCACTATTCATCCTTAGGGAGACTTTTGCTCCTCTGCCCCTTCTTGCCCCGAACGATGCTCCCTAGTTTCATCGACATTTTGTCGCCATTGTGTAAGCTTTCTTTAGCTTTAAGCTTCCGTTCGCGGCTCGGGCAATTCGACATTGTTAAAATGCTATTTTATCTATCTTCCCGTAATTGAATAATTATTGATTGCTTGATTAATTTAATCGTCATGATGGCGCACGGTGGGACGTCTAAATACAGGACGCTCGCTCGCCAATTAGAGCAAATATCCTACGCTCTCTGTGGAGATGTGATTTTCGAGAAAAATGATTGGCGACCTTCTCTTCGTCGGTGGAAGGATAATGGATGTCCCGGTGAAACATCTTGGAGGACAATGCGGCCCCGGAAATTCACTCGCGACGCGAACCAGCGCGACCGCAGGTGGTCAATTCATGTGCCAGCCGCAGGACCTCCGTCGGACAATGTCCTGCTGGTGAACACGGTCGAGGATCCCTATTCCGGAATCCCGTGAGCTTCCGGAACCGATTCGCCAAAGATCGTGACGTCGTCGGACGGAGTAGAAATTTGAACGATCTAACTCCGCAGAACTTTCGAGAGCTTCTCTATTTTCATTCAAAGAGCGGAGCCACAAACGGAAATTAAAACCGCGCGCGAAGAAATGGATGTCGATTGAAGGTCCACGAGTAAACGTTAAATTAATCGACTAATGCCCGCGGTCGGTGCTTAATGAGCGTCTCGTTTCTCCTCGTTTTTTACGTCGTCCCATTCCCCACAGCGAGGGGGGCTGCAGTGCCGATCATCGGAATATGTAAGCTTACTCCGCGTGCGAAATTCCGCGTTTCTTCCGCGGCGCAAGCGCTTCCTAGCTCATAAATACATAAAACAGGAACACATATACGCCGACGCCGCCGCGCGGGAGCCGGATAAGGAGAGTGTAAAATTTTCCGCAAATATTTCCTCCCTCGGCGACAGCCGAGTATCCCAGCTGCGCGTCGCCCGGCCGGATTTTCCTTTTATTAAAGTTGCGCGAACTCCGTCCTCTGAATAATACATCGCTTTTCGCGTTTCCCCAAATTCGTCGGACCCACGAACACGACTCGCAAACGCGTGCGCGCGCGTCCACACACACACACACACACACACACACACACACACACACACACACACACACACACACACACACGTTACGCATATACACAAAGAGGACATGCATGTGTACGGGTTCTGTCGCATCTTTGTTGTGTTAAGTTTCCTGCAGAAGGATGAAGGGTTTACGTCGTTTGTGTTTGCGGGCCGAGAGAGGCCCGATATAATTGCGAAACTTCGTCTTTCGGACGTTTGAACCAAAGCGATTTAGCGCGTATAGGACGAAATGCGGAATGGTGCGAGCGGTTCGGCGCGAAACGAGAAAAAAAAGTTCGGGGCAAGCGCGAGTCGCGTTAACAACGAGCTCGTTAACATAATCAACGGCAGTGCCAAATCGATCGCGACAGCGATCGCTGGATTTTCCGACCGGATATAACTCTTCCCGTATCGAATCAGCTGAAGTTTTGCGCCGCGCGCTTTAAAACGCGCTTGTCCATTAAAGTTGAAACTCGACGAGGGCTTTCTTAAAATCGTTATTGTTAATTGCATTTGCTGCGCGCCGCGTCACGGAAGCTCCCCTAATGGCTCGCGTAAATTATTTCCCCGTATATGCCGGTTATTCATTTTAGAACCCCTTTGATCGGTCCCGCTTTGCAATTACGGATACCTTTCACCCGGACTGGCTCTCTGATATCCTTCTGTCGCCTTCTTCAGGATTCGCTGTGAAGTCCGTCGCTCTGTTTCGCGTTCGCGAAGATTCAACACCGACACGGGAGCTCAAAGGGACAGACTTCGGTTGAGTAAGCGACGATAAAATTTGCGTACGAAACGGAAACCGATAGTTTTTTTCAATTTCGATTCAGTTAATCCTTTCTTGCGATTCCAGCCTGATCGCCGAACTGATCGAAATCGCGCCTCGATGATCTCGAGTGTCGGATTTTTTGAAAAAAGTTGCGTCAGGGGAATCAGCGACAAGTCGTCTCTCGTCACTCGGCTCGTCATGGCGACGGAATTGATGGAGAGCGCAATTTCCAGACAGATCAGAGCACTTACAGTTATCATCACACGTTCGTCGTTTGACAACTTGGAGATTTTAGCGAACGTATGCCGTACGGTAATTTAGCGACTCTTTATCACCACGCTGTTAAATCAATGTTGAATTAAGAAATCAGCTTTCTTCGGGATGGCTCGATAATTGACTTTTTTTATTCAGTGATTTCTATCACAGGCTCCGATTAAATTAATGTCAGAACAAGAAATCAGAGAAGTTTTCTCGAAGATGGTCCGATAATTGTCTTTTTTTTTATTTAGATATTTCTATCACAGGCTCCGATTGGATTCATGTCAAAATAAGAGATCAGCTTTCTTGCTTATAGGGATGACTCGACAGTTGATTTTTTTTCCATACGCTTCTGTCGAATCGATATCAAATTAAGAAATCAGTCTTCTTATGGTTGAGTCCACAACTGATTTTCTTTTTCGTCATCGTGACTTCGAAAAGTAAGTCTCGCTCGCAATTAGCGCTTTACGTACATATCACGGCGGAAGGACGAGTGTTCCTCCTGCGAGCGATCATCCGATATATTTCCTCTGACACATTCAACGCGCGATTTCTCCCGGGGGCAATTACATCGATTCGAGATGATCGGCTTTGTCCCCCGTGTTCCCTCTCCCTCTGCCCCGTAGACATTCAAGTCGATCTGTCGTGAGAAAAAAATCCTATTCGACGTTCGAACCTGCTGTGTATTGATTTCCTGTCAGGTTGGAATATAGTCGATCCATTGTGTACGCGATACTTGCACAGCGTGTACACTCCCTGCCCGGCGTATACAATAGAATAATTTTATATTCGTCGAGATACGGAGATTAATGCGGCCGGGATATCTCTCGATATCTTGCTACACGGACGATTCGTATCCTCTCGTGTATGATCGTATACCTTTCGATTTGATATTCCCCGATTGCATTTAAAATAATATTTTTTTTCTCTCTGCAAATGAATCCCTCTCTTTTACTTTCTCTCTCTCTCTCTCTTTCTCTCTCTCTCTCTCTTCTCTCTTTCTCGTTCTTTGGAGCATTACATATGCGCGTATTTTATATCGAATACACGCAGGATATCGTAGAGTTTTCTCTTGGCAACTTCCGTCCACCTCGAAGTGCCGAGCGTTTCGCAATGTTATCGCAACAATATTATCAAATGATAAAAAATCCTGAAATGCATGTGCGTCCACGTGTTTGGAATACACAAGCGTATATCTGATGTATGATCTTTGTAATTAATGCACTGACATGCACCGAGCGAGGGGATATCGTACCGCTAAGTATATCCCGGAAATATACAATATAGATACGTTCCTTCGACGGTGAGAGAACAAATGGACGACGCGAAATTATACAAAAGAGAGAAATATTTTTGAATAAAAAAAAGTTAAAAGATCGAAAAAATCGTGGAATTAAATAGATAATCTTGAAGTGATAAAAGTTGGAGGAAAAATGCAACATGATTTCGCCACTTTCGAGTCAAAAGTAATGTCACATCTGTGAGATTTGATCACTTATTGCGCCGGGAATCTCTTGCATGCGAGTTGCAGTTCCGGTTATAAATTTACGCGGGTCTCGTTCGACGCGCAAAAAAAAACAAAATATAATACCAATCGAAGGGGTCGATGCCTGGCGGGATATGTCGGTAGCGCGTCGAGACGAGAGGGCAGGGGTGAAGGCGCGGGGGAGGGTTTCATCAGACCGGCAGGGATGCAGTCTTTTTGATCCTCTTTCTGTCTGTTGCAGTTGTGTGCGGCGTCGGCGCGGATGTGGCGTACCATCGGCACGTCATGGGGCTTTACGTTACGTGAGGATAATTCAACATGCGTATACCGTAATTCAATTCACGCATTATCAGCCCTCCGATCAGTCGATCTCCTCGCGCGTCGCGACATACGCGCGCAAAAAGGGATTCGGGATACCGTATCGGCTGTCCGCGCGAGACAGAATTAAGCGAATCGAGAGGAGAGAACGAGCGTGAGAGCGTTGACGGAGGAAGGTCAACCCCGCGACGAGGAGATTGTCGAATCCCCGCAAATCGAGGCTTCCCTCAACCGAACAGGCGACTATCGAAGTGCGGAATTCTGTACGGGCAGAAATTTTCCCCATTCGTTTCTCTTAACTCGCCGTTTTCACACCACGTCCTCGGGATGATTATTATCCGTCCGTTCTGCCGAGGACGGCCGATTTATCGTTCGCACGCTTTCGACGACTGTTGCACGCGACGCGCCGGCACTTCGAGATTGTTGAACCCGAAACTCAAAGTCTACTGTTGCGATGCTAACGGATATCTGCTTCCCAAACAGAAAATTCGTCCGTTTATCCTCCGACCTATACAGCTACGCTAGTTCAACGCTGAAAAATTCAGAGGCTCGCGACCGCTGACGTTTCGCTGAAGTTTTCAACGGAAGGTCCCGTGACTGACGAGGACATCCGGCAGTCTGAGACAGTCCGACGGGAATAATTGAAACTTTTAGGAAACCCCGCCGCGAGGCTTATCGCGAACGAACGAATTTCTTCCCTCGATTTTCTCGCTGTGTAAATAACAAAATATTCGCGCGCTGAATTATTGCTTGAAGCGGAGTGCGAAGTAATATTCCGCGCTTTTAACTAAACGTAACGCGTGAGAGGCTGGAACGCGCGAGAGTCTAATTTATATGCAACGTTACTCCCCATTACTCCTGTAGTTTATTGTTATGCTTTGCGTAGCTTGGCGGCGTATAGCTTTACCTTTACGACTCCCAGATAAAATCCATTCCGTCGGACGCGGCTAGCACGTGATTAAGCGCGACGAACCGTACGCTGAAAATCTTTCCCGATCGTCTTGGCTCCTCGGGCAATTCACTTTCGATCCGTCCCCGTAGTGAGATCTAATTTGGGGCCGATTTAATTATCGGCAACGGAAGCGCGATGTCGAAACGAGATTATCCTTAAGGCGACGTATTTATTCGGAGAAAATGGAAAGGCCCGCAGATCCCGAATGTTAACGCGCGTACATTATACGTTAGAATATCCTTATAACTTTTTTAATTGGATTTGGAATTCCCTCTCTTCGCGCTCGCATTTTAAAGGATCCACTTGCTCATTTTACAACTGCGGAACATCCCGGCCATAATTTCGCAGCTTTACAGTTCCCGAGATATGAAGCAAAATAATTTTTGAGGAAAATAGTATCTCTCGCGCGGTGCGCACGATCGATAAAAATATAAATAAAAATTCTTGTCCCCAATTCTCCGTCGCGAATTATACGAGCTGTCTAAAGTCGACTTAAGTAAATAATAACGTCTCGGTTTATCGACAACGACGCGTTTGCGACCGATTGGGGGGAGGGGAGGAGAGAGGGAGGAGGGTTTTCAATCGCCAAAATTATCTTCGATGCAATACCGATGCGCGCAAGAGACCGATAGCGTTTGACCGGACATTCCTTCGCGTATCCGCAGTCGCGCAGTTGCGCATGCAATAAACAACGAGCGGCGCGTAATATGGAGCGGCTCGCAAAAGAAGGTAAAAATATCCTCGCTGTCCGTTGCAATTTTTCGCGGGCAATATCTAACCATGGCGCCGTGAAAAATCCCGCGGAGTGGGAAAATTGAGAGAGATGTCTTACATTTTTTACGTCGTTCTATGTCGGCGCGCTATTAATCATTGATCACGCGCGGCTGCGCGAGATCGCGATTTTTCGGTCCTCGTGCCAATCGAGAATCACCCCCTCCCGAGTCAAAGTTGGATCACGTTCCCGCGATACAGATTAATATATGGATATTGAGACGAATATCTCTTTCGTGGGACGGAACGGCTATCTTATTTATATTTCATTTGCGATTACGAAAAAATATCTGCGCGTGGGATGGCATCTTCGAAAGGGACCTTTATAGTAAAGTCGTCGCTATTGTCACACCCTCATTTCCCCGAAATGTCGTCGTTGGCAGACGCGAGCTTTACTCGCGACATTTACACCCCCGACGGGACGCGAAGTCTGGTGTCACATTCTCCAGACGCAGCCTCGTCTGTTAATTCTCGTGCGACTTTTCGATTGCAGGGCGGCGTCGGGGGTGATCTTTTTCCTCGAGGTGACTTGGGCCATCACACTGTTCGTGCAGCTCTGTGTCAGGTACGTTTGTACAACCCGATAATCTCAGATTTTAACATTTGAAAAAAAAAAGATATATTTTAGAGTCTTATTTATCTGTTCACCTGATCGATATACAGATTTATTTATAGACTGGTATAAGAGATAAAATAGTGACGTATTTATAAAATAATAACGTATTTATAAAGAATGCATAAAAGTTAAGCGATCAGATTTTAATAAGCTTCTCGGGGTGTAACGCAAACATATATATATACGAACGTAACGCGGGTGTACGATTGTGACTTTGCAAATTGCCCGAAATTGGCCCGTGCACGTCTATCGGGGGAACGATAAGCTCGGCGGACACGATCGCGGGAGGTCGAGAGGGCTCCCCGGGGAATTACCGTTCTCGAGGTCCGAACAGGATAACACGGAAAAGAAGCGGCGTAAAGCCAGCCCGGCAATTACCAGGCAGGTCGGAAGTTCGCCCCAGTTTTCCCACCGCATTTTCCGACGAGGGGCGCGGCAAGGCAAGTGCGCTGCACGGAGGACCGGTGACTGGATAACGCTTCAGCGATGCGAAGCGGGTAGTAGAAGCGCCGGTGAAGTGCGCGGCGGTAGTCATCTTTAAGCCAGATAAATGCGTCACGCGAGCCACAAAATGAAGACAGAAACTATACCCTTCCGTCGCGTCTCCTCGAAGTTAATTGCGAAGATGTACGAAATTTATTAAGAAGCTGGTTACGCCGTTTCCGCGCGCGTGTGCTACACACGCGTTATCTCATTAACAATTAATTCATCGAGATTTCTCAAGCCAGCATTGTATTTTCCGTATTGTCGTACCTTCTGTTTTACTCTCTCAAAATCAGTGGAATCATCACTGATTTTCAGTGTATATCATTTTCCAGTGCTGTACTTTGAACTGTGATAAACAGTGACTCTATTTCGGTGTTATTTCAGTGATAATATATTGTTTCAAACAGTGAATAACACTGAAAGACAGTGAATTTCAATTCTCAAAGCTGTTTGAGAGTGAAACTCACTGTTTGAATCAGTATATTATCACTGCAGAAACAACATTGAAATCATTCTGCTTATCACAGTTCAAAGCACGCCATTGGAAAATGATATACATTGAAAATCAGTGATGATTCCACTGATTCACTTTCAGAGGGAGAGAGAGAGAGAGAGAGTACATCGATCTTCGTGGTGTGTTTAACATATTAAAAAATTTTGTCAAGTCTTTCGGTAAATCTTTGGCCTTGATTATCGGGCGAGTGACGAGCGCTAGTTTTTGCCATCTAAAAGTTGCTCATATCGATCAGCGTGGAACGTCGGCCAATGGAACGACGACGTCGCTCGCTAGCATTCTTCGCGAGCTGGTGGGAGGAAGTAAAAGAAGTTCTCCGCAGGGTTTACGGGTTTTATCGAGTAACTTAGCTTAGCGATCCATCCGGAATCGACGGCTGCTGCGGAAGTTTATGTCCTCGGCGACGGTGCCATTAAAACTGCCGGTCGGAGCGATCGATCACTCCGATCTACGCGGAGAGATGATCGAGCGGCGGGGCGGTGAGATAACGTGCGCTTCGCAGAAAAGCGGATTTTCAACGGAGACATCTTCTTTTATGTCTACGTTCGCCGCACGGTGATGAAGGTCCCCATCAGATCTTTCTCTCTCTTTCTCTCTTTCCGTATCTTTCGATTGCGGATAATCCAATTAAAAATATTTCAGCGAGTTAATTGTTAAAGGAATATTGAAAGACAATGTTTTTCTCTCTTTCTCTCTCTCTCTCTTTCTTTCAATTGATCTTGTCGATTTTCTCGACTACCTTCGAAGATACGAGGAAGGTTTTGTCTCTGCATTTAAGATTCGCTGCGCAAAGATGATTATCTCGTACTTTCCCTTTTTACTTATCATTCCTTTTTATAACTATGATAATCCTCCGTCAGCTGATTAGAGGCGAGTTTACGTCTGGCGCGATGGCTTATTTCGTAAATTAATAATAGTTCCGATAACGCATGTGATAATTATTCGCATCGCGGAAATTTCCCCGCGATAATCTCGGGCAAATCGTTTCCCGGCAATTTTCTTCTCGATACAGTTACCGCGGCGATTACCGCCAAATCGCATCCGAACGCAATTGCCGCCGTGCACGTTAGCGTAACATACATATATTTCAGTTAGACAAATATTCTTGTGTACTACATGAGTCAGGGAAATATATGAAGATTGTAAACGTAAAATCTGATTTTTCTATATTTGCAGGATACTGCACAAATTGGCTCTCGTTTCGAGAGCGAGATCTCTTTTGCGCATTTCGAGATTCAATTTGTTAATCTCCTAAAGAGTACTTGGCGAGAGAGAGAGAGAGAGAGAGAGAGAGAGAGAGAGAGAGAGAGAGTTTGTATCGACAGAAAAATCGTCTTACCGCTCCATTTCTATAAGACGGAGACTCAAGTGGGAAATGATGGGGCCATAATCAGGATTAAATGCTGATTGCTCACCCGCGGAATTCTGCGGAAAACGTCGTTCTCGCGCGGAAAGTTCTGTTTATCGAATGTAAATCGGGCAAATCTAGTTACGCGAACGTCAGATAACTCGTAAAAACACTTTTACAAATGTTTGAGTGTACCAACTACGTTCTCGAGGAACGTTCTCGAATTAAAAGTTTTAGATCTATCAAATTACTTAATTTATTTAAACTCTTTATTTAGAACGTCGCTCCGGAACGTTGTTCCTTTTAATCTTTCAAACTCGGAGATTCTTCTCTTTTTACGAGAAAGAAAAGGTATATGTTCAGTATATGTTCTGTTTTATTTTCGCAGGAACGAGGAGTCTCTCTGCTCGCGCTGCTGGTCCGGCGTTCTGTCGGCCACGCGGGGCTGGCGAAGAGCGTTGTTCTACCTGCCGTTGTCCTGCATCCTGGCGTGGCGACCCAATAAACTTTGGTTATCCTACGTCGCGGGTAAGGACGCCCGGCTCCCCCGGCTCCTCCATTTTCCGTGAGCCCCCTGACAGATAAATGTGCTTGCAGCCGGCTTGTTGGCGGTACTGTCCCTGCTGCATATTGCATCGAGCGCGCTGGGACGACGAGATTCTTGCCAATCGAATGCCGACTCGGTAGGCGAGAGCCTCTTGAACTCCAGGCAGGAGAATTACGACCGCTTTGAGGAAGTCCTGGTGAGTTGTTCCCTCGGCTCGGCGATCAGTAAATCCCCCACGAGAAGTTCGTGAATTAATTTCAATTCCGCAGTCCCGTAATTTCTTTCTCGCGAAATATTGATTATCATACGTATACATTTTTTCCTACCTCCTTCGATCGCGCTCCCTATCCATCATTGTCTGTCTTTCACAAGGTGACGGAGGTTCTCGATGACGGGGTGTCAGGACCAGGACGCTGTCCCGGGGACAGCGACGGCGAGATATGACACGAGCGACGGTCCTCCTGGGCCAGCGAGTCCGACGAGGATAGCGAGCTTGAACAGAGGACATGTCAAATTGCCACGCTGTCTTAGTCCTTTGCGACTGGACCTCGAATCGATCTAGTCGCGTGTCAAAGAGAGTCAATTGAGCACTCGGATTCTGTTTGCGGCGAGAACGAACGCGAGAATTGCGCGAGGCCGAAGTAATGCCTTCTAAAATTGTGTAAATTGAGAAAATGTCGGAGAAGTCATCCGTGGCAGATTTGATAAATCTAAGAATAAAGATGAGAGAGTTTTGATTTATTGATTTACAAATCTACAAAAGAAAAAAAACGACGTGAAATAATCGCATCGTTGTGCGTGCGCGTGAAGGAATGAATGTGCGCGAATATTTTTCTTAGACAGACACTTGTTAGTTACATATAATTTTCTATACGTTATGTCTTTTAGGAAATCATAGATATAAATGTATAATATATAATTGCATGACGTTCAAAGAACAGCCGTAAAGTTTTGATTATAAAGCGATCACTCGATAAGCTATATTAAATTGTCAATATATAAAATTGCTAATAAATATTTTCTAAAAGCATCCTACTCAGAATTTATTTTACATTGAAAAGTTACATAAAAGTGTGTGAAAAGTAATTATAAAACGAGGAGATAAAATTTATAGACTCGAACTATGAAATTGAAGAAAAAAGTGAAAATGAGGTACTGACCTTGTCCTCCTCCGTGTCACCGCTTAAAGAACGATAAAAGGGTGCTACTTCCTTCATATTTGTCATGTTAAACTAAACAGTGATATCTTTGTTCTGCTGTACTTAACAAAGAAATGACTAATTGATGCAAGTTTACATTATATTTATATAGTGTCTCATAGATCATATTAAGCAAACGTGAATAACAGAAACTAAAGATTTTTAGATAAAAAATGAGTATCAATAAAATTTCAACGTTACAATATAAATCTCATGAAAGATACATTCATTAATTTTTTCAGTAAGTAACAAAACATTTTTACGACTGATTGTTGCCAACCAAAAGTTGTTTTAATGCTTGTATAATACCCGCAGGATATCTCGTGCACGCCGCATAAAAATAAACTACTAGTGCAATAAAAACACTATTAAACTATAAGTGTCGCTACTCGTATGTACCAGTGACACTGCTATATTTTAGTTATATTTTTACTACACTAATAGTTCATTTCTACGTGATCGAGAAGCTGAAAATTATCAGCCGTCATTTTGAAAAGCGCATATACTTAGGGAATAGGAAAAATAAAATATCTTGCAATAAAGAAAATTTAACAGTTTTATTCACATATAAAATAAAGACGATCGAAAGTATTTTTATCATTTAATAAATTTATAAAAATGTCAAATATTGCCATTTTTAATATATATATTAAATATATACTTTAAATATATATACCTAGACGAAAGATTGTCAAAAGAGATATTAAATTAATATGGTAAAGTTCTTTTTAATTTCCGAAACGTGACACATTTTTATTAACATTTATTAAATAGTAAAAATACTTCTGATCGTCTTTACTTTATAATATGCTACGTGAATAAAATGATGATAAACGTCTTTTATTAATAGATTTGTTTTTCTTATTTCCTATGTGTATTTAAAATTGACAGCTGATTAATTTCAACAACTTCTCCCATAAGACACCCCCAGTATGTATATATATACAAAATATATGCATATGCGCTTGAATAAAAGGCTTTAGTTCACCAAGAGTAGATGAATCGAGGACATCGACAGGTAGATATTAAACTGTGGCATCAGATATTAACATTATCATGCATATACGCATCACGCATTTTGTTCGTGAGTTAAGCCGCGCATGCAGCACATAAACATTGATCTAATATTGATTGTGAGTCTATATGATCGATTGCTCTGTAGTGTTTATAGGTTGGCCCAATGTTTCGAAATAACAGTGGACCCATAACAATGTTGACAGCATCATGTTGATTTACTGATGGCGAATATTTGATTAAATGTTGAATTTTACATATTTTTTAGATAGGATATTTAGCCCCACAACATTATATCAACATTGAAAAATAATCAGATCGCGATATTTTTAAAAGAATACGCGGATAAAAAGCCAAGTTATACTTACGTAATTCCTAATTGTTATTCCTAAATCAAATTCTTACACAATTAAACGAAATGTACTGTCAAAATTTATAAATTTATACATTTTTATCTTGGAACCTAATTTTAGGGGCTTGCCTTCAAATCAAAATGAAATAAAATTTTATAATTTTTCACTTTTGAAATAAAATTCTTTTAACAAAGTCCCGTGAAAAAATTTTATTATACATTTTTGATACATTTTTCTATACATTATCTCTTCTAAAAAATACATTTAAAAAACTTGATTATATTATATATATTTTTGATACATTTTTCTATACATTATCTCTTCTAAAAAATACATTTAAAAAACTTGATTATATTATATATATTTTTGATACATTTTTCTATGCGTTATTCTTTTTTGTATAACACAATTCAACATTTTTTTGGGATCTGAATAAACAAGTGTTTTTGATTGACTCTTAATCGCTGAAAACGAATCTGGGGACGAAATTTGCCTATCACATTAAATTTTCAAGAAAATTGAGATTAAATGTGCCAAAATTGATTTTTGGCTACATTTATTTTTTTGCGGTTAAAATAAATTTTTTTTCAATTTTATTTATGCCATTTTAAAATGCCATCTTTTACCTATAAATTGGCAAGCGGACTTTAAAAAAGCATCTCAAAGAAATTCAAAATTGCACTACAATCTGCACGTAGTAAGCTCTGAAAATTATAAATTAATAAGCAAATCGTAGGCACAAGCCTCCATACTCCATAAATAAAATATTATTCAATCTGTCATTTTCAATAACAAAATTTTATCATATTTGTATTTAGCAGCCTCAAAAACATTAAGGTATACATTTTCTTAAAAATCCATCTACTTTGCAATTTCGGCCATATCGGATCCGTGATTTTTAATTTTAAAATTCTAATATCATATTTAGATTTAGCAATTTTAATTATCTTAACAATAAAATTATGACATCTAAAAAATTTCTTTTTACACAAAAATGGGACAGAACGCTCATTTTTATAGCTACACTGCAGAGGAATTAAAACCTTCATGACTCGGTGAAAAATTAAAATAATAATCATAAAGTAATAAATATAAATTCTCATATTATAGGTAAAAGATAGTACTTCATAGTGGCGTAAATATAATTAAAAAAATGTATTGTGACCACAGAAAATGGTAAATATGGCCAACACGCCAATTCTGGCACATTTAATTTCAATTTTCTCGAAAACCTGATATACCAATTTTGCCGCCGGTTTCGTTTTCAGCGAAACAAAATTTAAGTTGATAGGAAAACACTTTGTTTATTTAGGTCCCCTAAAAAAAATTATTTTTATATAACTGTGTGATCATCCCTTTGCTGTTCTCTTGCATCATTAATATAATTATCTTATATAATTACAAAAAAGCATGCATAATGCTACACTCACCGTTTTTACAAAAAATAAATAATCATAAATTTAAAACGTTCCAGTTAAGAGATCCTTAGGCGCATCTTTGGTATCCCAATTCTTAAGTTCGTCCAAAATCTTCACCAAGAGTGGATTGCCACCTAATCGTTCAATTTCAGTCCTCGCAGTTGAATCCAGTTCCTCAAGTACATTTCTCGTGTATTTAAAGGATCCGAATCTCTCTAATAATTTAATACAATGACGCTTCACCTCGATATCCTTCGTCCGTTGTCTTAGAATATCTTTATCAAGCGTTATTAAAGAAATATATAAATTCAATAAATTGTAATATAAAAATTTCGAATATAAAGTACGTGGAGCAATTGGTGGAAAAAAAATTATATTAATTGTACAATATTTTTTACTAAATATAAATAACATTTAATAAAGGATACTTATTATTTGCCTATCGTCGGGATTGCTTTTAAGCGCATGAATAATCGGAAAGCTGAATTTCCCTTCGGTTAAATCCTCGCAGTAACTTTTATTCTCGGTGTACTGTGACAAAAAGAAATTTGGTTAATTTAAATTTGTTTCATTTTAAAATCAAACGTTATCGCTTACTTACTTCACCGAGGCACAAGTTGCAATAATCGTCACGTATTTGAAAGTACAATCCTAAAGTAGCTATTAATGATGAAAAGTCTTCTTCATAAGTTGAAAACAATTTCATCAATCTTACCGCTAAGTTAAAGAGCCCACCAGTCTCTGCAAAATTAATTAAAGTTCAAATTATTTTCCACATAAGATTAGAAGCGAATCTTGGTGGTAATAATAATATTTTTGTGTGAATCTTGCAATTTCTAGTTCAGATAAACTGCGCGTCAAATATTATGTCACACCTGAAACAGCTCCAAGGTGAATTCAGACTATTGCGAAAAATATTACCTCAGCCAGGATATTTTTCGCATCAAGTTTTTCTACAGGATTTTATAAGATGCTCATTAGCATTAAAAATTATTAAATTGCTCGATTTAATTTATGCGATATTACGTAGTCCGGATTCAGTTTGGAGTTACTTTAAGTCTAACAAAATATTCGGCATGCAGTTTTACCTGAACTGGAGATTGTAAGATTTACACAAAAATATTATTATTAAGCATCAAGATCCAATTCAGATCGCATGACGTTTCTAAACTTGTTTGAATTTTCGCGATCTCGATTTTTATATTATTTCATAGATTTCGATATTAATGTTTTTTTTTACACAAAACATGACTTTTCAATATATATGAAAGAGAAAGGATTTTATATAAATATTTAGCAATTACTTCTTATTGTCATCGTCTTGTAATCTTCCTCAGTTGGACAGATAAAATTATCCCTCCAAAAAATATCCATTCCCTGACCTCTGTGAAGTTCTAATAATTGTTCCATATATACCTTCGTTGCCTGATAACAAAAAAATATTATATTAGATATTTCTTAATTTTTAATTTATGTGTATTTATAATACATGTATTTTGTACGTATTCATTTAAACGACGATATCATTGTAATGCGCAGTTTCTTACATGTTTTTTTGCAATATCTGGCGTTGCAAATTGCATATGTATCAGTTTTTTATCTTCAGCAATCGAAACGAATAATGACGAAGAACAAGAAAAGAAAAATAAAACTGAAATTTGATAAAACAAAGAAATAGCGCGTGCAATAGACAGCGCGTTTATTAACATTAGAGACTTTTAGAGTTCTCTAAAAATATCTCTATATCGTTATTTATCGAAACAATTCATAATCATATTAAATATCCTATATCATTATTTTATATTAAGAAAGATAATTAAAAAAACAGCACAAGGAGATGGAACAATTATAGTGGCATTTCTAGCTCAATTCTCAAAATTCTCAAAAATGCTTTTTTATAAAATAATATTAATACATGTATGTCTTTTGTGTTTTATTAATCTTTACGTAAATTGGAGACTATTAAAAATAATAGCAAGAAATGCCGAGACTTAAAAAACAATAGCACTCTTGAAGAATCTAAATTTACTTAATTCTTATATCAAATGTGCTATAAAACAGAGACAATAAAAGTTTATAAAAAGTTCATAACAAATTTTAATTTATGTGTTGCAATATACTAAAGTTGATAAAAAATTCATAAAAAGATTTGAAATAATTTCCGTAAAAAATTAATGCAATCTTCATATAATTACTTACCGCTGGATGTTGTAAATTAACAACTCTTTCCAAAGCAATAAATAATACGTAATTTGCAGCACTTAATGAACTAGCAATTCCATAAACTAAGTGTGCAACAGGAATGCCTCTTCGTAAAATAGAATTGTCTTGAATATCATCAATTCTGCGAAAATAAAAAAATTCGTAATTAATTCTGATAAAAATACTTATTCAATTTAAATAAATTCAATTTAATTAAACGATACTTAGAACATTTAAATTTGCACTAAATTTATTTATGCCTTGAAAAAAGACATAAATTTAGGTGAATTCAGATATTATAATATTTTTAAACTATTATGAGAATTTTTAGGTAAAATATAGATTATATTTTTAAATATTTAAAATTGTATCTTACAATTAAATTAGAATAATACAACTTTTTCACATGTTCTCATTAATACATTATGCAAGTTTAGTCCTGATCTTTGCGACCTCCTCTATAATTATAATAAAAATCTTAATATAAATAAAATAAGTAAATTTTCTAAATTTTATAATAATAATATTTAAAAAATTACACTATCGGTTAAAAGAAAGTAAGGTATAATGTGAATTGCAAATACAATTTTGCATACCAAAATTTTATATGTTGAGTATTTATTTAAAAAATGTGCAAAGAGAATATTTCTGTCTGAATTAAAATTTCATTTAACAAATCGCAATTATATTACAAAAAACTGAATTTAAGATTCAGATAATCAAAAACATATGCAATTAGAAAGAGTCGCAAAACAGAAATATTATTATTATGTACAACATAACAAAACGCAAACTTACAGAATGCTCGAATTGTGGAGCATATTTACTATATCATCGATCGCTTGGAGTCTTTCGTCTGATATTCTTAACCAGTAGTTAAAAGCCTTTGCTAATTTTGCTCTTATTTGTTTCCCGGGTACTTGAAGAATATACCTGATCGGTTCCAATAATTTCTGCAAGAGAAGTTTCTAAATTTCATATCTAAATTAAAAATCGACATAATATCAGAAGAACAAGCAATTAAAGAGATTGCACTATTTAAAATTCTAATGATAATTTTCGTAATTTCTAAGAATTACGATTTCAAGAATTCGGAATTTCGAACTTTTAAAATTTAAATTTTTAAAAACAACATTCATTGACCATTAATTTATTCCGTAATTAATTAGCGTCTTGTGTGACGCAAATCGAGAGAGAGAGAAAGAGAGCTCTGATCTCTCGCATATCTCTGTCCTTCAATTGACGCATTGCGAAATGTATTGACGGCATCGAAAAATTTGTACTTCACATCACGCGTGAAATGTGCCAATTTCCCGGCATTGTTAGTACACTTCGAAATGCATTCAACGGCCGGTATTTATCTATACTCCGATTTTATATTCAAATCATTCGAGATCGTCATCATCAATTACATGATAATCAATATATATCTTAAGTTTTCATTCTGCAATTATTCAACCATATATAAAATAATGACTGTCTCGAGATCGTAGTATATATAAATACCGGCCAATGTTGCGTCAGCTGTCAAGAACGTGCGATTTTTATTTGTCATCTACTGGCCGATCGTTATATAAATTTACGTTCAATATACATTGGAAAATTTTGATCGATTATATTATATAAAATACAAAATAACACATTTGTATATTGACAGCGTATTTTCCTTTTTTTCAGACAGTAAAAGACGTATGTATAATTATACAGTATCATTAAGGTGGTTTTATCGAGCAAGTTCCAGTCAAAAATTAGTCCCTCCATATTACTAATAATTTAATAAAAACAAGCGTAATTCAATAAAAATATTTTGCATAGATTGTACATATGCGATTGTGTGACATTTATACGTGACAATGTCACACTATCTAGTTGGCGTTGAGCAATAAAACCACCTTCTTAAATGTGACGCGCGTCATAAGCGCACGCACGTCCCGCTTTTTGATAAGAATGAAAAAAAAAAAAAAGATTATCACGGTGGAGACTAACCTCATCCTCCTCTCTGTTGCCGCTCATAGAGTAATAAAAAGCATCAGGCTTATTGGCGTCCGTCATGTCGTACTGAGTGGCAATATCTCTCTTCCGGAGTGCTAGGCGCGAATGAGATAACTGCTCCGATCAGTCAGAAATGTGAAAAATAAATACGCGACAAGCAATTGCGGTAGCCGGGTATAAGTGCAAAGTGTCAATCTGCAGCTTTTGCCCACTACCGGCCGGAGCAGCCGGAGCCTTGACTACAACTGATCCCCGTACATGCGCAGTAAGAGCAGGCGCCTAACAGATATAGCTATCAGGCCTCCGCAGTCAGCTGTGTTTGTATGTGTGCATACATATTTTTATCGTGACGAGGAAAATTTGAGTTCCTCGTGGAAACAGAAAGGAAATGATAAAAATAGCAATAAGAAATTCTCTCTTCTTAAGAAAATATTGAGAAAAATAAAAGGGAGGAAGATATTAAAAAGAGTTAAATATTTTTTTATTTAGTTTTGTTTTTAAATATTGTTGCCACGGGATTAGCTCGGGCTGCGTTCGGGTGTTTTACAATTATAAAATGTAAAAAATATAGATAAAATGATGTAATAGTACCGATATACAGGGTAAGTGGCCACCCCTTATACGGGGACACCCTGTATAATGATTGATAACACGATCGACCCTTGAACCCCAGTCTCGGTCTTTATTATCATATCTATACATATTTATCGGTATATATTTATATATAAAAAATTATGCAAGGTCCGCATTTACTATTCAATAAATGCGCGAGCATAAATTATAATTATATATATATTTAAATTTATAATCTCAGAAGTGAATAAATTAACATATTAATTAGTTATGTAAGTCTTTTATGTAAGACATTTTTATGTCTTTCACTCTACTATAAAGGTCATTAACTGATTTTAACAGAGAGATCAATTTTTAGAATGTCGCAATCAATTTCAAGTATGAGTGTCTATAAAGTCAATTTGAATTTGATCGAAATTACTCCCAATTATCGCTTCCGTACCGTTCTGTCCAAGGGAGAAACGATATGGCGCGACCAATCAGGTTGGCTATCTCTCAGCCCTTCCCGATCCGCGGTCAGAAAACGCATCTCGCATTCCCATCGATTACTTCGTTACTTCATGACAGAGGCACGTGGGACGCATGCGCGTCGAGGCGCGACGCGCACCACACCGAGCGCGGACTCTGTCGTCTGTCACGGAGCGCGGAGCGGAGTTCGGTGGCCTCGTCAACGCTCGGAGCGTTTTCGGGCAGTTTCGCAAGGCGCGTCGTCAGATGACGGTGAGCGGTACGGTGCGGTCCGTCGTACATACGATTGACGTCATCCCGTCTCGTCTTTCGCTCCGAAATATGAGCGCCGGTGTCAGGAGCCGCGCATTCGCGTCGTGTCGTCGTCGTCGCTGTGTCAGCGCGGAGTGCACGATCGTGTGAGGAAGACGAGGCGGCGGCGGCGGCGGCAGCGGAGGAAGAGGAAGACGAAGACGAAGAAGCGGAAGAGGAGACGGAGGGAACTTCGCGTGGATAACGACGTTGCAGCGCGGCGCCGCGTGAAAAGGTCAGCCCCTATCGAGCGCCGACTCTAGAGGCGACGTCGCCTCCGCGCGCGCGGCCGATGACACGTCTAATATAATCCAGGAACGCGAGGGGGGGACAAGAGGGAGGCAGCATCATCTCCACGCACGGGTCGCGTCGCACACGGTCCGTCCGTATCGACCTCCCTCTTCCTCGAGCACGTCCTTGAACGTGCGACGCCGGTTCCCCACGGGTTCCCTTCGCGCGCTCCTCCCCGCGTCGCGTCGCGCTCCAATGTCTATTATTTATCTGCTGCTGCAGCACGATATCGCCCGCTATCGCTATTATCGCTTGACGCACTGCGATCTTATAAGCTCGCGGTCTCTTTAACTGCAGGTACCGTAAACACGCGCATATATCAGTCATCTGAATTTAGTTCCGTAGCTCTCTCATTCGACGACGGGAGAATCCTTTGTGCACGAGCAACAGCCTCGCCTTCGAACAATTCGCGGATATTCTAACAGCTGGGGGGGAGGGGGGGGGATTAGTTATATGCGAGTTTTCCGATTGTCATCGTTCCGCAAGGCCGATCTCGTGTTTTTTCCCCCCTTTTCTCTTTCTTTTCGTCTGTTCATTGCGACATCACGACCTCCACGTTCCCGAGTGCGGAGTGCGGAGTGTTTCTACGTGCGCGTGTTTTCCAATGACGCCGATTCTCGGGGTGCGCGTCTCTTATAACATTTGCCGGGAGACGGCTCGTGAAAGTCATCTAGCTACGACCCGACATCGGCGGGTCCCGTACGTCGCCGGTCCAATTTCGAGAGGTCGAGCCAGCTGAGCACAACAATGAGCGCCGACGACCCACGACGACCGGACAGTACGCGCGAGAGATCGAGCCTCCTCGACCTGCTCGCGGAATCACTCGGAATTCCCCCGTGATGAAACTCTCTTCCGACGGGAAGAGAGAACGGTTTCAGCTCGGGAGAGCGATCGTGTGACCTATTGTTAGTCACGCGTCTTACAAGAGACCGCCCGCTGAATGTACGCGATTGCTAATGCGACATGGACACATTCCTCCACGAACGCACGCCGCGCACGTTCCACTTTACGCGCTCCTTCTTTTTTCCTTCGCCGCGTTTCGCATTACCACTCGACTGCAACTTTAACCCCGCCCGCTGTCAATCAGCGATACTCGCTGCAAGTGTATCGCTGCTCTCCTCCTGTAACGCTACTGCGGAACGACCCCGTCTGCAGTTAACAGGTTCTCGGAGGATGAATGAATCTCTTTGACGCAATCTCTCGAACGTTTCGTAAGCTCTCGGACTTCGAGAGAGTACTATAATTACTATTCGCGCCAATTAACGCGATAACATCGCGGAACCGATAACGCGCGGAGATGCATGTATATTCCGTTTAACGGATCGTCGCGAGCCTGTCTCGAAAATAGAAACCGATTCGATAAAAAAAAAAAAAACGTGTTCGAGAATACGTACTTCGGAACTACGTTATCCCGCCGGAGACATGCTGCAGTCGAGTCGATGATCCCGAGGGTGCATCGCACTCGGGAGGGATATTCGATCGGGTCGCTTACGTCGAGTCGCGTCGGATCAAACGACGGAGGAGCGTTTCATAGTCGATCGCGCATCGCGCCTCGGAAAACTCGTTGAGCGGAGAATGTCGGTCACGTTGATGGCATAGATATTTTTGGAACGATCGGTCGTTTTTGCGATCATCCGTCGGGGTTTGCAACGCGTTCGTGCGCCGCCGCCCCCGCGTCGCCGCCGCCCCCGCGTTTTTCCGACTTTCGATCGCCCCGCTTATCATCCCCCGTCCGCTGATCGCGGACGATAAGCCTCGGTCGTATCTAATCTCGCGTTCAACAAATACTCGATCGCGCATGAATCCCCGCGACATGACCGACAATGACCACTCGTTATAATGTGACAAACGGTAATCGCCTCTTGTAATCACCTTCTGTTTCTTTTGTGCGACTTACTCGCGATGTATTTATAGACAGGAGGTGCGATGTTCAGCAGTACGCAAACGTATTCGCAGTGTTTAGTATTTTAATAAGTTTGCTTACTTTTTAATAGAATTATAGTACATTTAATACTTGTGATTAACTTAATACTTGCAAAAATAGACTCGCTCGATTCTCGGGCGTTCCCGTTACGCGTCGGACAAAAAAAATCTGCGTCGTCTAATCGGGGGAACGAATTAATTATTATCAGGTATCCGGGATCGTAGCGATGTCCAAGAAGAGCTGCAAGATGTTGGTCCATCAGGTGTCAGCCGTACTGCCGGACGACAGACCAATAACTGCCATTAGCGTTGTAGAAGACTTAGACAAGTGTCCACCGAACTTTACAGTGGTACGCGGACGACGTTGACATTAATTCAATTGAATTTTATTTATAATAACTCTCTTCTCTCGTCGCGGTGGTGGTCAGAATGGTAATCGGTATGCATCTCGTTAAGGTATCGAGAACTTACGATCAGGACACCGACGCCGATCTGTGGAGGGAGAGCGGACTGTTCATCAAGAAGAAGGGCAGATATATCTGCTTCTCGAAGACCGAGGGCCAGCCCGACTGCGTAGTCGAGGATATCGTAGTGATTAACGAGCGGGACACTCCGCCGGAAGGATACAGCATGATCTCGTACACCGTGGACTCGAGTGAGTCTCTCTCTCTCTCTCTCTATTCCGAGACGGCAATGCCTGCTGCAGCGCGTCCGCGGCATGAATAAATCTGCAAATCTTTGTAAACGATGTCGCGTTGTGAACGTGTTGCAGGGCAGAAGGCGTGGCGGAAGAAACAGGTGTGCTACAAAATTAGGCATAAGGATCTGTGCGAGAGAGCGGTCACGGATATAATAATATGCAGCAGGATAATCCACAAGGACTCGAAACTCGCTCCTATCGGATTTTCCGCCGCTGGGTACGTACGGCGATTTAACTTCGCGCACTTTTTAATTAGACCGGCTTTTAAATTGGCTCCGAAACCCGCGTCTGTATTTTTAACTCGATGAAAAATTAACGCGACGACAAACAACGCAATGATTTATATAAGTATAAATATAGATAAGTACGGAATTTTTATTGTTTGCTGGGAATACACGTGCAGGAGTGCTAAAGGTTTCGATGCGACATTTCGATCGCGACATGGTATTATATCTTATCTTTTTATTCTTTCAGTATCATAAATGGTGTTCGCGTGTGCTACAAGACGGTAGATATCACAAATGCGAATTCGGATTCGCAGCCGTACGTTAATATAGAGTAAGTTTCAGCACATCGAGCCGCGGAGTATCGATTTAATATAAGCGTGTAAACGCTATAAATAAACGTTATTTTATGATATACTTCCAGCTTGCTGCAGAGCCCTTCCCCGAATCCGTCGAATGGAACCTACCACAGGCCAGCCCCGGAGAGGCCCCCGAAACCAAAGTTCTCACCAAAACCACCGGCCAATGGGATTTATCCGCGAATCGGCGGTGCGGCTAACAAGGACGACGAGCTCGGCGATCGGGACTACGAGATCTTGAGTCCTAACGCGAGAATCAGGCCCACGAGGCCCGCGCCCCAGCCGCCCATGTCCACGCCATCGGCCGTCACATCCACGCCCATTTACGGTACACTTCCGGGATCGTCCGATCTCGACGGGGTTCCGTTCGCGCTTAATTCCCGTCTTAAAATTAATCATCCCGATTCTGCCAGTGTAAGTACAGTAATTTTGAAGCGCTCGTACAAATGAAAGCGCAATTAACACGCATTTACTTTTACAACTTAATGATACCTTTTTCTCGTCCCGACAGAACAAACTTCCCGTTATCAGAGTGTGGACACAGAAGGACTTGGATAGAGAGGTACGGGTCTTTTCTTTTTTCCTTTTCTTTTTTGACGAATTTTTTTGCGATAAATAAACCAATTCGAACGTCCTCTGTTACAGTTCTTCTATGATTTTCGTGCGGAAAGAGAAACTTGAAGAATGACGACTTGCCAAAACTAATTCGAGTTCACGAGCGATCTCTGTCCGCTCGTTACTCGTTCGTATTCGATATAATACTAGCCAACAAGCGTAAATGGAGTGCCTGAATCGAGTGATTTGTACTAACCCGCGAGAGAATGAAGCCTGCATGACGCTTAAAATGGGGATTGTGTAATGTTTAATAAGAAGGAATAGGAAGATAAAAAGAACCTATTCGATGTAACGCGCGTTTCTTCTTCCACGCCCCATATTTAAATTTTGATACTGGTGATAACGTTGTCATATTTTTATAGACTTGCGTTATTTTTTGATAGACAAGTAGAGATTATATATGTAAAATATTATGTACACAGGATTGTATCATAACGCGAGACCTTCTGCGTGTATCTTAATATCGCATATCTACGCTTCTAAACAACGTGAACAAATTGCATAATACTGTTGAGACTATAGCATTCTCGCCGCACATTTAGTGCTTAACGCGGCAATCCAAATGCGTGGTGAGAGTGCAACGTACGCCACACAAAAAGCCATTTGATTTTATTGTTCCCTTTGTGCTTTTTTTTATGCAATAACCTTTTATTCTATGTAGAGACTCGAATGCGTTTATTATGTAATTTTCCCTTCAAAGTGCTGCTTCTTTCTTTCTTTACCTGCAATAAAGTATTATTAAAATATCCTTTTTTGTCTGTATGTACTCTCGATTTGTAATTCTGTGTTTGAAAGTATATACAGTTGTGTAGAACATATATAACTGATTGTGAGAAAAAAAATCTAATTTTAGTATCGACGAAAACATGACGTTCGGTCTTAACTTTCTGCTCGAGTTCTCTCCGTTCTGTTTGTCGATGTAGATTCGTACCTTACGTAAGTTTTCGTTCGACCGCACACGTATACGTGAATGTAATTTAAGATAGATACTTGTATGTTAAACAATAATTTAATAAAAGATGACGGTTAAGAAACCACCACGTATCTTATCATTGATTAAAAATGGCTAAGGTAATGAAATATAATATAGAGTTCTTTCGATAACGATTTTATAAATTAAAATATATATACCAAAAGTCGAGACAAGTTATATTTTTTTACATATGTATATATGTACCATATAAAGAGACTAATAAATAATTTCACAGCAAGAATAGTTAGAACAACATTTTATAAACATCTTACCGAGGAAGGATTAAATAAATTAATCACTGAAAGTGCAACTTCAATATCTAGCGACTCATGTATCTTTTATAGACATGAAAAATAACGTAATTTATATGTGTGTATATATATATGTGTGTGTTAATTACTCACATATTAGCATCGTAACGTACTAAGGAAACAAGGTTTCTCTGTTTGTATCTTCATTAAGAATTCTTCATTTTTCCCTGTTTCTCGGCCAATACTGTATATAAAATTCGCATTTGCACGTCAAGAACGAAAGTCACGCTTTGTTGCGTACGAATACACAGCGCGACTAAAAATGTTCATATAATTAATCGTCAGCGAATTAAAGAATCAAAATCTTTTGTAGTTCGCCTTTATCGGCGAGTTGTCGGCCGACACGGCGGAGCGAAAGGGATTTTTAGTCGGCAGGAAACTGGCCAATCGTCAGACAAACGGTCCAGTCCAGTGCCTGACGTGCGTCGTCATCGTACTGCCGGCCGCAGTAGTCTGCACCCCGTGCCTCTCCAGCACCGCCGTGGCCTTGATCCTGCTCTTGTACTTCACGTCCTTCGGCTTCAGCATGCTCTTGTGATTGCTCAGCAATCGCGAGGGCGTGAGGATCGACTTGTTGCTGAGGCCGGTCGCCTCCAGGAAGTGATCGTATCCACTGCTGCCGATTTCACCGTTGCCGTTGCTATTACTGGTACCGTTGCCGACAGCAGGAACATTGTTGTTGTCTTTGGCAATGCTGTTTTCATTCGGGCCGGCGTTGCTGAGTCCCGCGTGACTGAGTCTCTCGGATCCGTCACCCTCAGGCCGATCGGGATCGTCCGACAGATCGCACTCGTCCAGATTGAACTCTTCGAAGTTCTGTCGGATATCGAATTCCTGCAATGAACGAAAAAAAGTCATTTTTAGAATTACATAGTTTTTCCGAAACATATATATTTTTTGCGCACTTGCGATAAGAGATCTTACGTGTTCGAGTTCGGCGTGGCGATCCTTTGGGCGATTTCTGTCCTTCGTCTGTTGTTCCTCGGGGTCGCCGATCTTGAACTCCTCGAAGTGCCGAACGATGTTCGTCACTCGTACCGCGCCCTTCGCCTGATCCGGCTCCTTTTGCCTCACCTGGAAGGACGAGCGCACGTGGTTGAATCTGTTCTTCCAGAATCCACCCTCTTCGCGACCCTTCGTTTCCCTCGCCGAGCTCCTGGCCGAACTCTTCGCTTCCTCCAGATTCAGACTCCTTGCCGCCTTTGACGACGAAGACGAAGAGGATATCAGCCCAAGAATACTTTTTTTTGCAGGATCCGCACCTCCCGGATCCTGCTGCCTCTTTTCATCAATCAGGAACGACGGACTAGGAATCTTCTTCAGGATCAAGGTATTGTTGCGAAACTGTGGCTTCGGCGGCAGCGCCGGTGGCGTCCTGGGCGGCGTCGGTGACGTCGTTGTTATCTCCGGCAGCGACTCTATATCTTCGTAATCCAGGTTCTTGGCGATAGTCAACCCTCTCGCGGACATCTGCAGGCAGGTCTTCTCCTCGATTCTCTCCATCTTTAACGGAGGATTGCTCACCTGGGATTTCGTCAGGATCTTCCTCGACTCCTCGACATCGATCTTGGGCTCAATGATGACTAGCGGGATCGCCTTGGAGTCCTTGGAACCGTCGTCATCCGGCTCCTTTTGTACGATCCTCATGCCAAACTCGTCCTCGGTCGCGTTCGCCTCGTTCTCCGCGGTCTCTTCCTCCCTCGATGAGTCCTTGTTATCCGCGACGGACTCCTCGGAGTTCTTCCTCTCCATCTCCGAACCCACCGACTCGATGTCGGACAACCTGGCCGGCTGAAAACGCACGATTCGGCCGCGATGTTTGAATCGACGCGGCACCGACAGCACCATGTTCTCCTCCTCCTCCATATCCTGCAGCAGGATCTGATTCACGCACTCCAACACGGAGTTGTGATTGCTATTCGGCCGGTAGGTGCTGTGCCTGAACACATCGTCGTTCAGCCGATCCTCATCCGGATCGCTGTACCAATTTCCACTGGAAGTGTCCTCCACCGTCAATTCAGGCGTCTCGAGCTTCGTCTCGCTGTGAAAAAGAAATTGGGAGAACTGTTTTTTTTTTTAATGTTCACTTCTACTACTGTAGATTAACTTTAATCACGGTTTATTTTTCTATCTTGTTCTAATTCTTAAAAGTAGAAAAAGATACAAAGTAAGTTAAATCTGGATTAAAGTTAATCTACCTTGGTAGAAATAGACATAAGAGAAATAAAAGAACGTAGAGCAAACAAAAAGTACAATTAAATATCTAACGAAAATTCTGGCGGAGAAAAGAATCGCTTGCGACGTACATATTGTTATTATTGCTGTAATCATCTTTCGTCCTCGACTGCTCCGTCCGCTGCAGATTTCTCTCGTTCACCTCGTTGCAGGCGTTAATGTAAATCGGTTCTTCCTTGCCTGCCTCTTGATTACTTATCCTCGTGTTATTATGTTCCTCGTCCTCCGAGGCGAAGTTACAGTCCATCCCGTCGTCCTTGCTCTCCGTCCTCGCGATACCGACCACCTCAATCACGTCGGCACCCTTGGACGACGTCTTCTGGCCCTTCGTTCTCCTCTTCGTCGACACTGTCGTCATCCCGCTCTCCTCCGTTATGTCCTCGTCGTCCTCGTCCAGGATCATCGTCGTCTCGTTTTCGCTGTCAGTCACCGTCGTCGGCGTGCACCTGCTCGAGCATTTGTTCAAGGTCGAGCCGGGCGACACGTCCGTGCTCTCGCCCTCGCAAAAGCCCTCCGTGCTGAGCAACGACGGGGTGCCCTCCGTCGTCGTCGTGACGATGGACGCGTCCGTGTTCTCGCTGCTGGTCAGACTGGCCTTCGAGATATCGCTGCCGGCGAAACTGTGCGTCTTTCTCACGCTGTTACGGTCCAGTTCGTCCAGGATGCCGGACGACGCCGGGTTCAGCCGCGTGATTATCTCGCACTTCAGACTCGCGATCTCTTTGCCAATACCGCTCTCCTGCAGCGTTTCTCTCTGAAAGCGATCAATTGAATAGATTTGAACTTGGAAAATGCACAACGTGGAAAGTATAGAATTAACTCCGACGTCTTATCTTTAGCGATATATTATCTTTTCTTTTTCTTTTTAACTAGCATTACGAACGCGCGCCTCGCGCGCGCTATTTAACGTTTTTCACTTTTTAGTTTTTACTATATTTACACTGAGGTTGATAGAGTTTAGATATACTCTATCAACCTCAGTACACGCAACTGTTAAAATATGTCATGACAACCGCTCACAAAGTAACCGCTGTGAAACAATCAATTGGTATCGTGGAAAAGCAACAACAATTCTTTGAAAGATGCGACGTCATGCCTTTTTTAAGAAAAGATACACGCGCTGCTACTTCTGGCTGAACGGAGCACTTCCACACCTCGAATCTAAGCAACTATTTTTTTAACTGATTTCTGAGATTGTTCTCGCACTTGTATTTTTTTTATGCAAAACGTTAATAACAATTTTTTATCTCTTACTTGCATTGTATATACATTGCTCCTTTCGACTGAACGGAGCATCTCGAATCTGAGCAAACTTATTTTTTTTTACTGTCAGGGATTGTTCCCGCACTTATACTTTTTGACGCAAAACGCGGAAAGGATGAAAAAAAGGGCACGACTCTTTTCGATTCTTTTTAGAAAGGAAAAGATTTATAAATTAAAAACTGGTCGTAGATAAGCAAATGCGCTAATTATTACATGATTTCTCAACTTACATGCAAATTTCCAAAGCCCTTCTGCAGATTCTTGTCGACGTTGGCATTGACCTCGACATCGACGGCCGGCGTCGTTCGATCACGCTTGCTCTTTATATAGTTCTTTGTATACCGCCTGAGCATCGCGATCTCCAGTTGCTGGTTCCTGATGACGTTGTCCTTCTCGCAGAGCATCTGCCGGATCGACTTCTGCTCCTGCTTAAGGCGCGCCTCCAGGAACAGCAACGCCCGCAGTATCCTCGAGAGCTGCTGATCCCGCAGAATCCTCTCGGACTCGTGACCGGCGGTACGGTGGTCCAGCTCCCTCACCAACTCCCGACATTTCTTCGTGGCGGTCTTCAGGGCGTCCTGGGTCCGCGCCAGTTCCTGCTTGAGCGTCCGGACTTCGGTTTCCATCTGAAAAACACACGAATTTTAATGAAAAAATATATCTCACGAAAGGCCGAGAAACATCTTCCCGCAGATCGTTATTAAATATTATTTATATTTGTTTTACCATTTTGATTCCGTATTGATTATCGGCACAGATAGCGTTCTTACAGTTCTTTTTATTATTACATTGTATGTATTGTATATTGAATTTTACTGACTTCATGATATATCTTTTTGTGTAGTTATTTATTAACTTATAATGTATAATATTAAAATGTGTTGTGTGATTGATAAAGTCAAGTATATATAGAAACGTAGTTTAATGTTCATCATTGTATGTAATATAAACATAATATGAAACATACATTAATTAATAGAACATCTAAATGTTGCTCGTTTTCGATCTTGAGATTTAGCTTTATTTTAATTTGTTTTTTAAAGATTATTGTTACGAGATTAAATCTTAACACTTTTGGCGTTCTTTGATCAAGTTGAAGTCGATCTTGTCTTCACGAAAACAGAACACGAATGGGGCGTTCATATTTCACAGATCTAGATTAAGGAGTTAAATTTTTATCAGATCAGTAGAATAAAAGATCTTTTATGGGACCTCTTAGATATTCTCTCCCCGTCTTCTAAATTCCTACATCGCTCTCAGGATAACTGGCTCGCGTTGCACAATGCGGATCGCGACGAGACAGATATTCATCGTGCATGCGAGGTATACGACGTGCAGACCGAAGAATGAATACCGCCAACGTCTGAGCGAAATCAGTGGAACAATGCCGGCCGGTCTTCGGCCTTGCTTCGCGCGCGCGCACGCGAAAGAAGAGGAGCCCTCGGCCGTGCTGAACTGACTCGAGAAAAAGAGACGTTCCGCGTTCGCTCGTCTCCAGATGCAGGAGGGGTACGAGACCGGACCGGCTACAGGACCGGAAGGACCTGACCCGGCCACCGGGGGAGAACCGGTAAGTCACGGCGGGCCGCGTGATAGAACGATCCGGCGGACGGCGAGCCATTGTTACAGGTAAACAATTTCCAACTTGACGCATTGACTGCCCAAGGATGAGCGGGGCATTTGCATTTTGGGTCGTACACGCGCGATGACGTGAATCGCGTCCCCATATTACCGCTGCAGCGTCAGTTAATGAGATTCTTTAGTGAGCCTGCAGGCGACGAATTGAAGGATGATTCAATCGAAGGGTGATGAGAATTAGGAGTCGAAAATGCAAATAAATTGAGAATCACGTGAGAGAAATTCGATACTCGACTTTATATGTATATTCAATTTATTTTCCTCGAAAATTTGTAAATTTTTATTTTTGCAAAAACAAATTAATTTCTCCGAAGATTTGCAATTGCGCATTTCAAAGTTTTCATGCGATGTCTACGAGAACGAGAGAGAGAGAGAGAGAGAGAGAGAGAGAGAGAGAGAGAGAGAGAGAGAGGCACGAAAACTTATGTTGGAAATTATTTGCTAAATCATTTGTGTCTTATCTTCGCTGTCGCTCTCTCAACCGCCGAGGGAGAATCTCCCGAGGATTTACGGTCCCAGATTTCCGTTTCCGCATGCGGCGAGCTCGTCTCACCAGAAAAGGAAACCGCGAAGCGGCACTTTCCGCTAGTCAATTTAACGCCCGTTCTCGAGAACGGGCGAGCGATCTAACGGCGACGCCGTGCAGGCTAAAGTGCAGGCCGCAATTACGCGTGGGTTATTCGCGGCTGGATGCACTATCTCGCGCCCGTCTTTCCCGACTTTACGAGCGTTACGAATACGATACATTGACTGGGACGTAACGAAGAGCGTCCTCCCTCGCAGATAACTCGCTCGGCTCTCCGTTCAGCGTCTCTTAAACCGATAAGCCGCGGCCGCGGCTAATTAAAACGCGAGATGCTAATCGCGCCGGGGAACGGGACCGTGTCTCCGTCAATTAACGACCGAACGAGCGAGCGCATTTTCTTAGACGCGACTAAATCGCGTCGTGTGGGGTCGCCGATATGATCCGTCTAAAAAATCGCGCGCTCTCTCTGATCTCCCCCCCTCTCCCAGTTTCCTTGCGCCGTCACTTTCCGTTTCAGCGATCCGTTCTTTCGCAACAATTTCTTTACTTTTTATATGACTCGCATTTTATATCGAAAAAGATAAGGACATATTCTTCTCCGAAAATATAATTTCGACACGCGCATCTTTATAGTTCCTGCAGCATGAAGAGAATGTTCGATCTTTCCTGCATATCGAGTCCTGCATTCCTCGAGCGACGCGAGACGAGGGGCGAAATAATCACGCGAACCTGAAATACCTGCGCTCGCCGGAGGAGAACGTTAACGGAAGGGACCGCTCGCGCGCGCGGAGGATCCTTCCGTGAAATTCCCTTAAGAAGGTTCGCGCGCGGACCGGCCGCGATTACAAGGTTACCGAGTCATCGGGACGGAGGTTTCTCAGGCCGTTTGTGCTGCCCATAAATTATACGCCTCTAGCTTTGAGAGAGAGAGAGAGAGAGAAAAAAACGAACTAGTTAGTAGAAGAATCTCGCGAGACGATCTTTCAAACGCGTGCACGAAGCAAAGGTAAAACAAACGGCAACGGATAGAGTAGAATAATAATTATTTCTTTACATAAAAATTCCGTGATATCTCGTCAACATCATTATCGGAAAGTGACATCTTTGTCACATATCAAATAATGACAATTTCTAAATATATCAAGAGATAAAGTGCAGAATATCTTCATTATTTGAATATCTTCATCGTGAACATTCACGATGTGTGATAAGATTATTTTGGAGATCGGATCAAAATATTTAATTTGAAATAAAATACGTTAGTTTGTTTTTCTCGAATTTAATGTAATGTATGTACAGTTGTGGACAGATCGATTGCGACATTTTTTTTTATAGGTTTCTAATATATATTTAATGTACATGATATATATTTTATAGGTAACTAATATTTTGCACATGCGAATCACAATGTACTATCTTTAATCTAGAGACAGTATAACATCAATCGCATTTGCAAAATATTAGTGCGTTTTGAAACCTATAAAAAAAAGTGTCGCAACCGATCTGTCCGCGACTGTACGTGTTTCGTATATAATTTCACGCGAACTCTTTGAAAAAGTTATCAGTTTGTCTTATATTCACTTTACAAATCATAAATTTCAATTCTTCCTCAATTGGGAGTCGAATCTCGGGATCCATTTACAAAATTGCTTGTGTCTCTGAATAAAATTGTCGACGCCGGTCAATAATCCCTCGCGACAGCACGGAAATGGTGTCGGCTGTAATAAGTGACCGTGAAAAGTCACGCTAGCGCGAGAGCGAGAGAATCGTCAGGCAGGAAGCGCGCGGATGTGCCGCGGCACGTCCCCGGCAGGAAGACAAGTGTGACACAACAGCGAGCGAGCCGTCTTTTCGTCTTTCAACGTCGTGCAACCGCGAGACGTAGTATACAGGCAGCCTCGTCCTGCGGCTCGTCCTCATCGTGCCTCCTACGCCTCGAACGCGAGTCCACGCGAGTTCCACGAAGCCGAAGCTCGGGATCACGCGCGTCGGAGTATAAGGTACGCGCCCGAAAAAGTGTGCTGCGCGACTTTCTCCGTTCAGCCCGGCCAACGGTTTTTCGGTTCCCGCGGTTAGAGGTGCCGCGATTGGAGGTCAAGCAAGCCTCGGCTCCGGACAGATCGGGGGTCGGTACAGTTATCCGCCTTTGTGTGCTCGCTGCGATTGAGGCGAGATCGCCCGCCTCGATCTCGGCCGCCGCCGGTCGAGATCGGTTCCGGAGCCATGCCGTGCCGAGCCGCCGGCGGTCCAGGTCAATAATATCATCACCCGCGTGAGAAACGGCGCGCGGGTGTTGAACGATAAAGGGGATCCGCGGTTGAACGCCGCGCCGCGCTGATGGTCGCGAGATGACCGCGCGCGACGCGAGAGCTGGTTCACGCCGATGACGTCACGCTTCGGTGTCACGCCGGCGTTCCGCTGGTCGATGAATGGAGAACGCACTTTCTCCGACGCACGGTTACATATCCCGCCGACTGCATTTGCCGGGCCGTTCTGCAACAGCTGCAGACGACGGAATACGCTCGCATTGTTTTGCTCTCGCGAAACGACCGACCGGCACCATATGCGTACGTTCCCTCCCGGGTCGGCGTGCGTGCGCGAGTGCGTGCGTGCGGAACGTACAAAGACCAGGCCAGGTGTCGGCCGACTAGTGAGTATTCCGTCAACGGCGTCGAAAGAGTAATCACGATGAATTTCGTATTACACGGATTGATCCTCGCGGTCTCGTCTCCCACTTTTTTAAAATTCTCCTTTCACGAGGCGCGAATCGCGCGTTGCGCAATCAAATTTACAACAAGCTCGTGCTCAGCGCGCGAGCTTCAGAATTAAAGATACGAATTCGGGATGGCTCTACAGACGAGAGAGGCCTTTCCAGATTTCGAGCTCCAAGCCTGATCTGAACACTCGTCTCTCGGAGAGATCCCGCCGTTTCTTTCTCGCCGTTCACTCGCGGAGCGGACGTTAGCCTTCGCGAAGTCGGCTACCATCGCGAGCCTTTACCTTCGCGCGAATTCCTCCTCGCTGGTCCCTCGCGCTATCTCAGAACGATCCAGACGCATCTGTACGAACGCGCGGAAGGTTTTACGTCGCTCCCGATGACGCACACCACCGAGGCGACGGCGCGGCCGAATTCTACCTGACCGCGCGCCTCGCGCGGCATTCCGCGGTCTTAACCCTTTGGGCCCCTCTCTTGGTCGCTCCTCCTCGGGGGTTCGGTGTTGCCTCGACGGTCCCGAGCTAGCTTATAACCGAGGCGTTACGAGTTTGCTCACGCGAGCGCGTTTCATCTCGGATAGGTAATACACACACATGCACACACATGCGATGGAAAAGAAATCAGAGAACTTGAAGCACTCGCGCCGCGACGACAACGCTCTTCGACGCTGCGAAGAAAATATTCGAGGGAACGAGAGAGAAAGAGAGAGAGAGAGAAAGAGAGAGAGAGAGAGAGAAAGAGAGAGA